CATAATTTGAAAAATAGGAATAGTGTCTTAACCCTTCATTCCGCACTTTTTATAAATGACCATTAATAATTATTTTCATGTGCAGGATTGGTCAAGGAATACAGGAAAAATTTTTTTTAAATATTTCACTTATATTTTTTTGAAAAATAATTTTCTTTGTCACTTTGCATATCTGCAAAACTAGCACAAACTGGTGGCCAATTCTTTTTTCCCGCTTAGAGCCGTGTCTATTCAAATAAGCAAAGCAATCGGCAATGTTAAACTCTGACTGACAGCAGAGAAAATCCAGTTCAAACTCTGCTTTGCAGATGTGCAAAGTAGCGCAATGAAGGGTTAAATTGTACCACCTATTGATTGCCTATTATACTGGTATAATTTAGGAATTACCAAGGAAAATTATATCTATGACTATTGTTCTTAAAATCTAAAGTTTATCTTTTTCTTTTGTGTTACCTATATTTATTTATTTTAATTAAAAATAAATTTTTGTTCAATGGTTAATTACTTTATTATGTAAGAGTACAATTCATATATATGCGCGCGAATAGTCATGTGAATTGCGATAGATAGTAGCGCGCGAGAACGCAGGAGAGCGCGACATGCGAAGCACAAGCGAGAGCGCGGCATGTCTCGCTCTCTGCTCCGGCGAAGCCGCAAAGCGGTACAGACATCTCGTGAAGCTCCAATCTTTTTCTTCTTCTTGTATTCGGGTATTAACCGGATATTAGTAAAGTTGAGTGCAGATTTCACTCGACACGATTCTACAAATACTACAAACACGTAACATACTTCTTAATTAAATTAAAAAAGAAAAAAATATTTTGTTTCTATGATTTTGATCTGGAGGATGTAATAGATAAATTATGCAATTTTTAGTTACATAGCCAAAGAATAATTTTATGAATATAAAATCAATTTTCATATAAAATAAAATTAATAATTATTTTATTTAAAAATATTTTAATAATTATTTTAATAATTTTAATATTTTTAATTAAAAAAGATTTTTAGTTTTTTATACAAACTATAATTTCAATTAAACATATATTTTTATATCAATTGTTTATATTTTATTTTTATTCCCTCACAGTTTTTAAATTAATTACATCGATACGATAAAAGAAACATGGTACAATTTAGAAAAGCCGTGAAATAATTTACACAGTGCGATCCAGAAGTTCCCGGATCGAATTTTTTACCGTTTTCCTACCAATGCCATTCACCAAGCCGCGATTGAACTACGTAGTTGAAACCATTTCTTACAAGAGTGCAAATTGGCGTTAGTACAGTTGGAGTTATTAAGACAGAATGTCTCGTACTAACTGTTGTTATTACTCTGTGTCAATGTAATGAGATGAATGTTAAGGAGGAATAACGTGGGGCGATTAAATTTTGCTGTAAAATCGATTTTTCGGCTACAAAAACTACGGAACTGATTCAGAAGGCTTACGGTGATGCAGCATTAAATCGAGCAACAATTTTTAAATGGCACAAACGGTTTCGTAAGGGTAGAAAGTCAGTGAAGGACGATGAAGGCAGTGGTTGGCCCCCAACAAGTCAAATCGATGACAATATTGCTCCCATCGATAAAATGGTCAAAAAAGATCGAAAAGGTGTATTAGACCGTCCAATTTCGTGGATTCGACGTGTTTATCCATCCTGTACCGCACTTGTGATTTTTTCCACTTGCACGACAACACCATGCACATTCGGCAATAATAATTCGACAGTTTCTGACTCAAGAACAAGTCGCAACATTGAACTACTCCCCATTTTCGCTAGATTTGACTCCCTCCAACCATTTCCTATTCCCGAAAATAAAGTTACAGCTGAAGGGTGCAAGATTTGATACAATTGAAGAGATTCAAAAAGCCATGACCGACTAACTAAACGAGATTCCCACAGAAGACTTTTCTAACGCCATGAAGAATTTGGAAACATGTGCTAACATATGTATTATATCATATCTAATGGATATCTAATGGATCCTATTTTGAATAAATCAATTGAAAAAAATATCCGTCTTCTTTTTTTAGTTTCTATTGCCTTAGTCCAGGAATTTTTGAACCGCATTGTATAGACAATTAGTTGCCAAAATTATACCACTTAGGTTTTAAAAAAGATGTATTTGTAGAAGATATTATTGTACAAAAAATCTCAAAAAATTATAGAATGTCGCAAATAAATCGAACTTCTAATTACTTTCTATCCTATTTTTTATTAAGTATTTGCAAATGATAAAAGAAATTGAAAACTCGTCAAATATAGGCAACGTTCCTTTAAATGTTCAGGCATTAACAAAGCTGTGTATACGAACCGTTCTTTTTAGATTTAATCTACGTAGGCAGTCTGAAAAGTTCTCGGCCTAACAATGAAAGAAAATTTTTTTTGCCGTGAAATATATTTTATTTTTCAATATAATCTCCTAAAACTTCAATACATTTGTTCCAACGTTTTTCCAATAATTCAATACCATTATTAAAGTGTGATTCCGAAAGGTCTGCAAAATATCCATCCACGGCAATAGCTTCGTCATTTGTAAAATGCTTCCCAGCCAGAAATTTTTTCAGGTTTGGAAACAGATAATAGTCAGAGGGAGCCAAATCTGGTGAATATGCTCGATGTTCAAGCAATTCGTACTTTAATTCGTTGAATTTTGCCATTGTCAAAACACTTGTATGAACACGTGCATTATCTTGATGCAAAACGATTCCTTTCTTCTTTAAAGCAGGTCTTTTTTCACGAATTTTTGCATCCAGTAGATCCAAAAGATTATAATAATATTCAGAGTTAATCGTTTTATCTTTCTGAAGATAATCGATCAACACCTTTGTAATCCCAAAAAACTTGCCATAACCTTTCCTGCTGATGGGACCGTCTTTGCCTTCTTTGGTACACGTCCACCGGCTTCAATCCATTGTTTCGACTGTTCTTTTCGCTCTGGTGTATAGTGGTGGATTCAAGTTTCATCAACAGTTATGAAACGACGCTTGAAATCCATTTTATTTTGCTTAAAACGATCCAAATACGCTTGAGAAATACGCATTCGAATGCGTTTTTGATCAATTGTTAGCAAATGCAGCACCCATCTTGCACAAAGCTTTTTCATATGTAATTCTTCATGCAAAATATTTCCAATTCGTTCTTTTGAGATGCCTATGGCCTCAGCTATTTCACGCATTTTCACTCGCCGATCATCTAACACCATATCATGGACTTGTTGAATGTTTTGTGGTGTTGTAGCAGTTTTTGGATAACCTTCGCGTGGATCATCTTCGAGGCTTGTACGACCAGATTTAAAAAGAGCAGCCCATTTTTTCACAGTGGAAAATGAAAGTGATGCATCCTTATACACTTTTAAGAATTTCGGATGAATTTCTGTTGGTGTGTTAAACCATCCAAAACAAAGAATTTAATCACTGCACGATATTCAATTTTTTCCATTTTAAAAAAGACAATGACACGTCAATATTAAACTGGTGCTACTACTCGAATGACTTGACAGATCGAAATAAAATTTTACATGGGTTTATATCAGGGATGCCACTTTTCAATACAATTATAGTTTGACAGTTTCTAATGCCATCTATGTGTCAGGCCGAGAACTTTTCAGACTGTCCTCGTATATCAGTGAGTTATTCAAAGTCAACTTTTTTAATACTGTTACTGATGTGCCGCATCTGTTTAAGGTGCGGCACATCAATATGTAATTTGTTACTAATATTATTGACAATTACTGTAAACAGCATTGTCCATGTAACCACATTATCAATAATACAACCATAGAATAAAAAAGGTATTTTGTTCCGAAAGGAAGAACAATGGTTTTCTACATATTTTGATACACTGAAATAAAATTCGTTTCCCAAAAATTCGTATCACATCACATTTATGAGATACACGTTGTAAAAGGATCCAAAATCACATAATTTACATTACAAAAATTAAAATAACAGATTATAAATTTCTACCTACATAGAATCATAAACTCTAAACCAACCAAGCCAAGTTCCTTGAAAGCAAGATCTCGAAATAATCTGGCCAGTGAAGGCAAGACACAAATAAACTATAAAACTATAAAAAAAGAAATCGTCCAAACCATGTTATCGAATTATAATAAATTAGGATATCTTATGAATTTTTAAAATTGCATTTTCTCCGTTCTTATCTCGACTACTTTCCCGAAAATCTAAGACACTATAGTGAATAACAGCGCGAGCGATTTCACCAAGACCTGAAGAAAATTGAGAGAAGATACCGAGGTAGATGGGATGAAAATATGATGCCGAATTATTGTTGGTTACTGAAAAAGAGACACAAGAAACATAAAAGGAAAACGATCCGAAGGTCATTTGAAGTAAAAAAATACGATCGCACAAAAAAGTTAAAAAAAAAAGAAAAAAAAGCAGAAGGTTAGTGAGGTTGTTGGTTTATATCAGTGTTTTGCCTTCACTGGCTGGATTAATTTCAGATCTTGTCTTCACTAGCCGGATCATTTCGAGATTTTGTCTTCAAGGGTATATGTGAATTAGGGAGTATATGAATTTGTAATGTATGAGTTTGAGGTTTATGGGTTGAGAGTTCAAAAAACTAGGTTTGGTTGGTTTATAGTTTATAATTGTGATTCTACGTAGATAAGAATTTATAACCTGCGTTATTTTAATTTACAATATGAATTCTATAATTTTGGATCCTCTTACCACGTATATCTCATAGATGTGACATGATACGAATTTTTGGAAACGGATTTTGTTTCAGCTCGTCAAAATATACAGGAAACGGTTGGTCTTCTTTCCGAAATAAAATACTTTTTTTATTCTGTAATTTTGTGTAACATCTTGGATATAATTATTTTTTTTTTGGACATTTGGATATAATTAAAAATATTGGCTCTCATTGGCGTCACTAGTTACAACACACAAGTACCTGGAGACGCATTAAAAGGAAGGAAGGACCATTACTGCTATCTTTAGAAGGCAAACGTCGCCAATGGAACTCACCGCTTGTTCGCTTGCTTGTAGCTTCTGCTGGGTCCCGGCTAGCTCGTCTCGCAACCAGGCATTTTCCTGGCACAGCCTCTTCACTTGGGTCCTTAGCTTTTGTTTTTCCGCCTCAACCATCTGTAAGTGGCTGGCGAGTGCTTGCATTACCTGGGCCTCGCCCAGGCCTAAGTCGATCATCTCGATGATTTTCGACAGCAAACTGGCTTTGTCACGCGCCGCTGGTGCATCTTGAGACTGCAGACCCTGCAAGAGTCCACCGTGCTCCACCCGCAAGGCCTCTAGGCCCTGCGCCACAGTTCTGGTGCCTGCGACTATCTCCTCCTGCGTCATAGCCGTCATCCTGCCTATGTTCTCGATCTTTTTACTGAAAATAATGACGAAGAAAATGGTAAAGAAAAAGTTATGAAGAAATTTGCAAGATGTATCTTTTGTTTACATTTTCTATTCCATATTCTTTTGATATTTCTATATTATATTATATTATATGTATACAAATGACGCACCAAAATATTTCATATTTTATTCTATACCGTAGAAGTTATACACAAAATAAATCATACGCAAAGCGAAAAATATGTACAACGCGACACAATGTCACAAAGATCGCGAGAATCAGTTTTCATTGGAGGGAGAAGTACGTTCTCCGTGATTAATCGTCCGATGTCATGAACATCTTCTCATCGTCATCACATCATCTCACAATATAATTCTAAAAAAGAGTGCTTTCCGAGAATATTCTAAAGGACTATTACTAATCGAACGTGCTTCATGCGTTCGAATACACGACAAATAGGAGTATATCACTCTTGTGATATGGCTGCCGCTCGCGGCCGAGTGCTCGAAGAACTGAGTGTTGAAGGACAACGACGGTGACGACGATTATGTCTGAGATTCCGGGCAAGCCGAACACGAAATAAACACAAGCGTGGGAAGGCGCCTAATCGGGCTGCGACAACGTAAATGAAAGACGAAGCACAGAATGAGCGACAGATGAAGAAAACCGGAGTGAGGAGAACTTACCCCATGTCTTCAGGGCCGCGTTGGAGCTGTCTACGTGTCTAGAGATGGTGTATTTACCGGCTCAATACTTTGGCGCCGGCGCGCAGCAGCGCACTGCTGTACACTCGCCACTCCGATGCGACAAACGCATACAAGGCGATTCAAAGAGGCATGATTGATCGGCTCCAGTGAGCTTTATAATGCGCTATAGTGAATCTTCGAGGAGACCAATAAGACCTACTTGAATTGCTGTCTGTCAGCAACACACTTCACTTCGAGCGTTGAAATAACGGTGTTACTGTTATTGATAAAATAACAATCCAATCGATCTGTCTCCTTAAAAACTCACTCTAGTATATTGTAAGGCTCTCTAGGTCTCTTATTGAACAGCATTACACGTTATTAATCTTTCCTTGCTCGGTGTGAAGTTGTATTTCATTCCAGTGAATTGTAAATAGATCGACTTTTTATTTATTAACAGTACATTCCATTATATTTCTGTAAATGTGCTGTTATATTAGTAATGAATTATCAAGTAATGAAATACTGAAGTATAAGCAAACCATACGATATCGCCGCAAAGTAAACAAATTTATACGGATCAATTGAAAATACAAGTCGAGAATTATTCGGGTGACAAAAAGTTAGATATGCTATAAGCACTATTACACTATTGTCAGTCTCACAATCACATCACGATGCTTCTCACTATCAAAAAACCGCTACCGACTGAAAAACAGTTCAAGGAAAGGTTCGAATCGATGTTCGACGGGACTTGGTTATATGATTACATTATGATTACACTATGATTACAGTCGCTGCGTCAATGATAACAAAATTATTAACTTGATAGCGGAACATTCGGTTCCGATCTGATTTTCATGAATCGTCCTATACAGATGCAGCATGACGCGACCGGAAATTCGACGCTAAAGAAGGCCGATTCGCGTCCTTCGCTGACGCATAATCGATAGGGGCTGCGAGAGACCAGGGGTATAAGAGAGGAAGAATAGGAGGGAAGGAGGAAGGGAGGGAGGGGAAGAGAGAGGCCTGTCGCAAGACTATTCGCGGTTCACGATCAAGAAACTGACACGCCTCTGACCGCGATATCCGGTTTCCCGCTTTTATGCTTTCAGAATTAGCGGTCGACGCGCTCGAAGCATTCTTTATGTATATCCTATAATTCGCTCGTTACATCGACCTCATGTTATACCGATATGAATATATACTCTTGGATGCCTTGGGAAGAAACTACACAATCAGTGTTAAGACCTCAAAGAGAACAAAAAGACGAACAACAGGAAACAATGCGCCTCGATACGATCGATCGTTTTAGGAGATCCTGTTTGCGTAGGAGAAAAAACTTTCAGGAAAGAAGACCGAATGCTTGCCAGGTACCGAGCGAACGTGCCAGACGTGCTTCCGGTGTTCAGGACGAGGTCAAGTTTTTGTAAAGCAGTCGTAAACCTTGACCTCGGCCAAGAAGCGGCTGATTGGTACCAGGCTGATTATATGAGCAAACGAACAAATAAATTCGGCGACCTCGCGATGACACGCAAAAGATCCTTGGATTCTCAACCCAACGTTTCCGCCATTCGATGATTTTTCCATTCCTCAAGACAGGCAAACGAGGTTTCATCTCCAATCTTATGGGAGGGATGATGAAACAGCATGAAGCGATCCACCTTGGTTTCTATCCACAAATCATGCTAACCATAGAAATCATCCGATAGATTATCGCATGAATTAAAAAATATAGATATGAGGTAAGAAAGAAACAGCGATGAAGCTCGCGGCAACGCGTTCCGAAGCTTTAGCGCGACTCTGAAGACTATTCGCGTGCAACGAATTTCGCACAGAATACGTCGCAAGGGAATCACACTGAAAGCCTTTATGGACAAAGATAATCATTTACTTTCAGACAGTTATTACTTCGTTAACTTCTTATCTTTTTGAGAACTTCCTCTACTACGCTTACCTTTGCTTTATAATATATTCATGTTAGCCAAACATGAGTTCTTTTATAATTATAATAGGATGAAAGAGGCAATATAATTAGAATCCAAACTTTCTCAACAGCCTTTTTATCTTGATAATAAATATATAATGATGCATTACGCTAATAAATAATAATAATAGAAAAAAAATAATAAGAAGCATTTTAATAAGTAAATATTACATGTATAATTCTATCGGATAATTTCAATATTCAAAAGATATTTTTCTTAAAAACATTAAACAAATATCGACATGAACATAATAGCCTTTCTTAAATAGAAATATGCCAACAAATTAAATGTATATTCTATAAGAAAAGATTTTTCTCAATCAATATAATATATCTCTGATCCACCTACAATCTATCTTTTCATATCATTGTTTGTGGCTATTTCTTAGTTTGTTTTTCTATCCACATATTGATTTCGAATTTTCTCTTTTCGCTCAATCGTCGAGCCTCCTTTACTTATAATCTCTACTTTCGTCGTTACCAAAATCTTCGCAAAATTAATCAAAATTCTCGTTTGCATGAAAAAAGGGAAAACAAGGCTATTATGAGCCATGGCAATATCGCGTGCTTGCATACACATGTGATGACGACTCACAAATAGTTTGGTTTCGCATATAACATAATAACTTCCGAAGAAACGAAACTCGAAGCACGTTTGTGAAAATTCTATATGTCCATGCAACTGCGTTGCCAAAATAGCTGGTGAGCAACGTCGCGACGCCATGCGAACCGATCGATATTCGTGAGTTCAACGAAGAGAGACAACGGAGATTTTGCGATTCACTAGCAGCAGTTGCAATTGTAATTGCAGTTAATATCCTGCACGAGATTGCTGTTTATCTCACAAAACCCAGAGAGATACGGACTGATGATATCATTGAATATTCAAATTTGAGTATCATCAACAGACGACAAGTAGCCGAATAAAAGCAGTTAATTTTGTCCATTTCGTGTATCTCACTATAACGATAAATTTTGTTTTCTACAAATCGTCAGCAGCGTAGTTTCTCCTATTATTGGCTCTTATTGGCAAATGCACGAAATTTATGGTGGCCAGTATGGGGTTCTTTCTTGCGAAATCCACACAAGAAAGGCTATTCGTCGAGTATTTCGTTGATTTAATGTGTGTTTGTACATTTTTATTTATTCTCATCTATTTATTCGTTTATTGAGAGAAACCGCGGAAAAGACATCGCGAAATATTCCTTTCAGGACATGAGAATGGAATTATATTCTAGAACAAATATTTTCGGATATGTACTTTCTTCTTGAAGCATAGAAAAGCGTAGGAACTTGTGTTCTGGGATAGATACTTTAAGACAAATACTTTCTTTTTCAAACGTGAAAAAATATTATGCCCTGAGATAGGTACGGTCATGGGAAGAAAGATTGTTTGTACAGTTGTAAAATGCATCTGTCTTACTTAACGAATTAATTCCCTCAGAAAACAAATTTTCCCATTGGGCTAAACGGATATATTCCGAACTGTTCTGTCTATGAGTGTATTCTACTTATATACCAAAAATAGCATTTTACAAATCCTTTGCCTTTGTTTCGTTCATAATAAATACATGAATAAAATTCTCAGTAAATCTGGCCTTTCTGTGAACCCACATTGAAGTCCTTCATCTGAAGTATCATCGATCGAACTTGCTAATAGCTACACTAGCTTCGATATTCTCACGATGATGACGAACCCATCAAGTCATACCAGGTTCATTATTTCGATTTCGTTCGACTGTTTTTTCTCTATTGAACTCGCTTGGTCACCATGAATGACCTTCGCAGACTCTATAGATGACGATACCAATGCTGCAGTACGGAATGCAACTCAACGTACGAGACAACCGAAATCCCACAAAATCGCGCTGTTTTATCACTTCCCCTTCGCGAAATGCCGAATTTTAAGGTCATCTCGCGCGTTATGATTGGTGTCATAATTCGCTGACGTGATTCTCTTCATATATTATGGTATCAAAAAAAGTTTGTCGACTGTCTGTCTCTCTTCGAACGTTCGACTAACAAACGGACACGTTCAATCATATCCAAAGCATATCACTCGGTCGGTGTTTTAAGTTCGGAGAGTCACAGCATGTCGAACCGTTACGTTACTCACGCGCATGCAAAAATGCTTATGTGTGGATATGTGTATGCAAGTCGCCTTTATAAGGAGAGCTCATAAGGAGTTCAAGGAATTATCCCCGGTGCCTACTCACATTCTATAGGCGTTGAGCGTCTTTGACATATCCGTTCTACCCATCGGTAATGATGGACTCTGCCGGACTTTAGACCGACTTTACACCGTATACGTGTGAGAAAGGCATATACACAATAATATTTCCGCATGTACGCACTCCGAGATAGAAAAGAAATCATCTAATCATCGTCGCATGGCCGGTACAAAAATATAGATTGTATACAAATGCACGCGCGTGTCGTATGCATAAGAATGTATATATGTATAAATGTGTACATATGTGTGGGGTCATATACACTGTATATGTATGTGTGTGTGTATGTGTATGTGTGTGTGTCTAATTTAGATCGTTCACGACAACAGAACCGCGCCGGCTCGTGTTTAATTTCTCACTAAAAAGCGGCTCGTCTTCGGCCAGCCTTCCATCCCAAAGCGCGACCTCAACCACCCACTACCGCGTCAAGTAACGGGAAAGAGAACAACGTTGGTGGGGGTTGAAAGTACGCGACGCCTGCGCCCTGAAGCCGTAATTCCTCCTACAGAGGTGTATAAAACGGGGTTGCACCAGGGGAATATACATGAATGCTGCGATGCGTCCCCGGAAGTGCCGCAGTGTGGAGAGGGATATCGTATATTCCCCTCCCCCTCTTATAGGGATTATCCCGACAGAGATTACGCAGGGTATCCCGTGAAGGACACAATGAGTGAGAGAAAATATTACGCTTCGCTTCGATTCGCATAAAGGGTAGAACATAAAAGTCTTCCTCTCGAAATTTCTTGGAGGGAGGTTTCATTCAAAGTCGAAATTTATTCGAAATGATAGTGAAGATATTCAGAACCGCTAGAGTGAATGCTTCAATCAAATCGTATAGTGTATTCTTAATCTATCACTCGTAACATTCCGGGAAATAATAACATTGACAAGTAATATTTCTGAAGATGTTTAAAACGAAACGGAACGACAATTTGGGTTAAGAAAGTTATTTTATAAAAGTATTTAGTTACAGTTACAAATTTATTTTTTTGTTGAAAAAGTAACTAGTTACAGTTACAAATTACCAATTGTGAAAAATAATTCGTTATAATTAGTTACTAAAAAAGTAACGATTTATTATTTTTTAGTTACATTCTTGCAACGAGAGAGAGAGAGAGAGAGAGAGAGAGAGAGAGATTATACAGGGTGTCCCATTTTAATGTCCCACCCTAAGTAACTCTTCAGTACTGAAGTTTCAAGGAAAATGATCTGAATAAAAGTTGTAGGAATTTAAGTGAGCTACCTTATGATGATCTTGACTTTGACTTTAACCTCTATTTTCAAGATTATTTGAAGGTCAACTTGCGTTTTTTAAATGGGTTTTTAAAATCCTTATTTTTTATTACACTGTTTTTTTCTACTAGTTAATTTAAATAACTTTTGTCTGAAACATTTTTTTATTGGTCTAATTTTTTTGAGATATTTGAGGAAAACTTGATAAATTTTTCAATATTTAACTTACGATATCTCGCTATTTGTCGGAAAAAAGTGGTACTAGATTTTCTGGTTTTATTTAGTTTCAAGAATATATTGTTACAATAGCGCCCTGATTTTTGTTAATTTGATGATTTGGAAATTTCCAAAAATCAATAAGTTAATCAAATTAAAATCAAGGCGCTATTATAACAATATATTCTTGACACTAAATAAAACAAGAAAGTCTAGTACCACTGTTTCTTCCGACAAATAGTTAGCGAGATATCGTAAGTTAAATATCGTAAGTTAAAAATTGAAAAAGTTATCAAGTTTTCCTCAAATATCTCAACAAATATTGGGGATTTGAATAAGTTCTCGCTGTTTTTTCATGAAAATGAATGCTTTATTTAAAAAAATTAGTAAAGAATATGTCATTGAAAGTATTGTCCATCGCTAGCCACTACTTTCTCCCATCTTTCTGGCAGCATACGAATATCATGTCGAAAGAACGACTCATCTTTTGAGGTTATCCACGAATCGACCCATTTTTTGGCATCTTCATAAGAATGGAAGTGCTGCTCAGCTAGGCCATGAGTCATCGATCAGAACAAGTGGTAATCGAAAGGAGCAATGTCCGGTGAATACGGCGGATTGGGTAGGACTTCCCATTTGAGCGTTTCCAAGTAGGTTTTGGCGGGTTTTGCAACATGTGGCCGAGCGTTGTCATGCTGCAAAATTACTTTGTCGTGTCTCTCCTCGTATTGCGGCCGTATTTTCTTCAATGCTCGGCTCAAACGCATCAATTGTAGTCGATAGCGATCTCCCGTGATGGTTTCGTTGGGTTTGAGGAGCTCATAATATACTACACCCAGCTGATCCCACCAAATACAGAGCATGAGCTTGGAACCATGGATATTCGGCTTTGCCGTCGATGTTGATGCATGGTCGGACTTACCCCACGATTTTCTACACTTCGGGTTATCGTAGTGTATCCATTTTTCATCGTCAGTCACGATACGATAGAAAAACCTTTCCTTTTCTGCCGTTGGAGCAGCTGTTCACACATGGAAAAACGCTGTTCGATGTTTGTCGGCTTTAATTCGTACGGCACCCAATTTCCTTTTGAATCATTCCTAATGCTTTTAAACGTTTGGCAACTGTTGTGTGATCAACTCCTAATGATTCTGCAAGTTCATTTTGCGTCTGACATGGGTCTTCATCGAGTAATGTTTCCAATTCTTCGTCTTCAAACTTTTTCGGTGCGCTAGAGCGTTCTTTATCTTCAACATCAAAATTATTATTTTTAAAGCGTCTAAACCAATCTCTGCATGTTGTTTCCGACAGAGCATGGTCGCCGTAAGTCTCCACAAGAATTCTATGTGCTTCAGCTGCAGATTTTTTTTGAAAAAAGTAATGCAGTAAAATTCCCTGCAAATACTCTTTTTCTTGGCACGAAATTCGACATGTTTAACGCTATGAAAAAAATATGTTGTTTACGCTTCGGCGGAATAACATATACTGTCACTTCGAGCCTAATGGTGGAGCTTCACGATGAAGTTGGCTGTAGTATTGTCCGATACAAAAAGGCTAAGATAACACCATCTACTGGGAAACAGCGAGAATTTATTCAAGTTTCCAATAACATGATATAATTATATTAGAATTATAAATAAAATTAGATATAACTAAAGGGAAATAATCAAAAGTAATAATTATATTTTGTGTAATTACATGTACATATCTGTTGAGACAATAACTGTTTATTGGAAAGCGTATCTGCTCATGAAATTTGCGTATGAGAGGGAGAGGAAGCGGACGAAAGTTTTCTAAATTTCTCCGAGCAAAATTCCATTCGAAAAGTAGATTGATAGCTGAGTTCATTCGAAATCGAATAACTTCTTACTGGTCTAGTGGTAATTCCTAGTACAGAATATATTCTTGTACTCTAAATTGTCAGTGAAAGTTGTCGGTCAAAATTCGAGGATAAATGTAAAAAAACTGCTGTTATAAATTTATTTTGATCGGTTGGAACATTTATTCATACGAATTAAAGTTTACTCTAAAATTAAATTTACTCTGAATTCCAATTAAATATTTATTTTTGTAACGCAATAGTTTTATTACTACATTTTTATTTGTTTTGAGTGAGATTTGGCTCTTTAAATATCTTCAAGCGAAGTTCCACTTGCAAAGTAAAGTGACAGCTAAGTCATTCGATTTCAAGTGATTTTTTTATTTTTACATAGAAAAGTATTCATAGTTTGATCTTATACTTAAGATTGTTAAGTTACATATATATTAAAACATTTGTTTAAGAGAGTTATACAGTTGTTTAAGAGAGTTATACAGAGTGGTAAACTGCATATCTAACAGACAGATGTGAACTTGGCAACTTAACAAAAAAAAATTTGCAATACGATTCGATTGTACTTCATTTGTATTTGTTTATATCACTTTCTGTCGTTTATATCTCAAAGAATAAAAAATAGGAAGAAGAAACAAAATAACTAGCAAGTAAGTATAAGATATCGCGAAACGGCCAACGCCATTCGAAAGATTTGTTTTTATCTCCCTTCAAATCGTTTATACTTTAAAGCAACCGGATGGATTTTTAAAGACGTATTTTAGAGATCTTGTATTTCCGGTCCCTTTGAAATATAAATGATTTAAAGGTAGGTACAAACGATGTTCGAATGACACTAGGCGTTTTGCGATACCTAAAAAGTTGGCAAAAGTATCGCTTGGACGAATTTTGAGAATCCTGTACTTCCGGTTCCTTTGAGATATAAATGATTTAAATGGAGGTACAAACGGGTATAAACGATGCTCTTTCAGATGACATTGACCGTTTTTGGGTATCTCATATTTGCTAACTATTTTCCCCCTTGTCCTATATTTTTATCTTTCGAGGTACAAACCAAACAGAAAGTGGTACAAACATATACAAATGAAGTACAATCGTATTGAGATGATTTTCTTTTATTAATTTGTTTGTCTGATTTACACCGGTACGTAACAGATCAAATATTTCGAAAACTAAATGATATCCATGTCCGTTTTTTTTAGGTTGTATTGTTTCGAAGGGGACACATTTTGATATAAAATTTGATTTTACATGGAGACGTCAAAGTAAAAGAAAGGTCAAATTATTATTTTAAATGTAACTTTAATTCTTTTGATATCTACGTTTATAGTTTTTGTCACAACGAATTTAATAATTACATATTTAAGATGATTAGAGGTCAAATGATGAAAAAGTACTACTTTTCTGGCATTTTGTCAGCATTAACCATAAGTTAAGAACATGTCACGGTATTTTTTGTTGGTATAGCGCACTGTAACGTGAATATAGAAAAAAAGGAATAGAAACAACTTATTCTAATCATTACACTAGTCACACTTGTGTTTAATATCAATAACTAACTTGATTTAAAACTACGAATCTCCACATCTTTTTACGTATGCCTAATCTATCTATTACGTATTTACTTCTTGAAGAGTGTTTACAATTTTTACATCGTCAACGCTAATATCCATTCCATATATACTTACAGCAAGCTTTAATAATACAGAAAGATCATGATAGATAAATTCGTCGTAATAAGAGATATAAACGTAGGTATTCAAACAGTTAGAATTCTATTTAAAAAAATAATTTGGCCTATATTTTACCTTGATGTCTCAATTAATTATACAGAGTAGCTCATTTTTTAATCTATCTAGCCGAATATTTTGAAAATTGAGGCCGGTAGACAAAAATGTTTCAGACAAAAGTTGCGCGGTTTTAAGAGGTACGTAAGACGATGGCAATGATTTGACTTTGAACAGTCGCTTGAAGGTGACGTGAAGGTCATCTTCAATTTCTTAAATGGAACCCTCTATTTTTTACTGCATATTCTTGTAGCTTACATTGAAAGATTTCCAAAACATTTTAACCCTTTGCGGCATAGT